TGCTCCCTATTCTGCTTTTACATTTATCCACTTTCTCTTTATTGATAAAGGCTTTAGCGAGACGAATTTAAAATTGGATACTCCGGAAATAGATAAGTTTGTTTGTCTTGAAGCCGATTCCGGGTTGTTTACGGCGACAACTTTAACGGAGATAAATTACACAAATCAGTGACCAGTTTAAAATGGCCTGCACAAATTTGGCGCCAAATATTAGTCCACTGATTGGTTAGGAATACGAGTTATTTCATTGATCTTTTTAATTTGCGGCCAAATATGATTTGAACTTGAGGCCTCTCCTGGATATTTGCAACGTTTGTATACAGGATGCGCCAGATACCAGGAACATGGAAAAAATGTTAAAAAAAATTATCTATAAAAATTTCGAAGTTATGAGGGTTTAAAGTTTGCACTTTAACTCTATTTATTTCTGTTGGGAAAATAATTTTACAAGTTTTTTTGCTATAGGCTATTAAAAGAGAAAACAAGGAAGCTGTTATTTGTGGCTTTCATTGGCAAAATTTTTGTACCTTTACTAAATAATTGTAAAAAAAACATATACAAGATCATCAGTATAATTAAATAGACATAAAAAAATGTCATATGTCAAAAAATAAATGTCAAAATTGAATTTTTTAAACATTTTTTTCATGTTCCTGGTATCTTACCTTACTTGAAAATTTTCTCTGGGGCGCGAGTTCTGGCGCACCCTGTATATAATTGGGGACAAATTAAAGAAAACAATAAAGTTTAATTAAAATTAGAGAATGAGAGTTTCCATTGAGAATTTTTGCGTCTGCATGTGACGTTTGGATTAGAAGAGGTAGCTCTGTAAAATAATTAAACTTGACTTTGTAAAGGCATGTTTCTGATATTAAGTGAATAAGCCGCAAATTTCCTCCCGAGAAAACAAACGCGAATATATCGTTTATACAGTGGAAACAATTGGAACATTATTAAAGTTGCGAAACATTCGTTGTAGAATTTATCGCCTCACTGAAACAATGCATAATGGAATAGTCTGAATTAATGCACCACATGATGTAAGTGGCATTAAAACGAAACCGTAATTTACATAAGTTTGAAATAAAACAAGAGCCCTTTCATAACCTCGACAAGATAAATTCTAACACCACATAATTCGGGCGAAAATACACACCTATTAACGAAACGGAAGCGGGAAATTTGTAAGTAAATCCGAGTTGAAGAGGGTGTCGAGATATATAATGACGCGAATAGTGACGATTTTTGTTCCGGGGCGGTGATGGGACATGAAAGAGTGTCCCATCTACATGACCCGGAGCGTCGCGACGCCAAGCTGAACAGTCGACGAAGGCAAACTTGTCGCACATCTCGAGGGACGACTCGAGGGAAGCTCCGTTATGAAAACGCAACCGCTACGAATATTAGAAACGTAATTGTAATTGAGAAGACTGAATTAAAGCGGCTTGAGAGGGGATTTGCCGGGTTTTATTAACAAGGGCGGAAAAATATACATTTGATACGCGAGAGAAGTTTTAACTAGATACTTGTATTATTATTAATGAGAGGACAAAAAAACTAGCAAAATGTGAGTTAAAAAAGAAGACAAAAGTTGTAAACATTTTAGAAAGTGTTAGAGACAACCTAGCACAAATACAAAAAATATATTTATACCTTCCGTTGACCTATTTTCCGACGACTGCCTCCCGTGCCCCGTCATAAGCACTTAAAAAACATCAAAAATCCTATTTCCAACCTCATTTATCTTATGTTAACAACCATTAACAGAAATACCACCTAATCTCTCTCCGCATCAACCTCTTGAACCCGCATATGACCAAACATCTGCTCCCGAAACGCAACACTTAATTAATTAAAACGTAATTTTAGGCTCGTTCTTTCCTAAAAATTCTCTAAAAATCTGACACCAGTTTCTCGAACCCAAATCGAGATTTTGAGGGATTGTTGAGTGCGGAAATTAACACCAACGGACCGGAACGGGGTCAACCATTAATTTGAATTTGAATTATGTACAAGGATTAGCATTTTTTGTATGACTAGATTCTATATTGGTGAAAATTCTCGCACTAATTTTACTAATTCACTAATTCACGCAATTATCTGTTTTATAATACCATCTAATGTTCCAAAGTGAGCCTTCTTGCTATTAAGCAAACTACACATTCGTTAAAAATAAATGGAAAAATAGAAGATGGAAGAACGAACACAAAAATAAAAATTGCAAACAGCAGAATAGCATATTAAAGTACAAGTTGCAGAAGCAAGCACAAATTTGAAATTCCGTAACCAGCCGCGTAGCGACGAGTTGGAGAACAAATGAGTGCTTGAAGAACCTGCTGCGACAAGTGCTTTATACTATTTTTTATTTTGCCCCTTTATGTCATTTTATAAATTGAAAAACAAAAATTTTAATTTTTTTCTAGAAAATTTTGCGACATTTATGAGGAATAATTTTAGGACACTGTAAATAAAAATAATTCTTATTTTCACATTTGAAAATGAATAGTTAAAAAAGTCCATTACTAAAATTAAATTAACGCCAACGACTTATTAAAGCACCCAAATGACGTCATTTGGGTGCTGGAATAGACTTATTCTAAACGCAAAATAGAAAAAAAAAAAATTTGCTCTAAAAAAATCGTAAAAACAATATTCGAGAAAGTGATGGATATTAAATTTAAAATAATACTTTGTTGTTGAAGATATTTATCTCCAAGGTAGATAAATAAAAAACATTATTTCTCTACCTTATTTGGAGTTAAATAATATTCAACAACAAAGTATTATTTCCTTTCCTATTTTAATGTAATTGAATTTTAATGTTCCAATCCTTTTAGGTTTCTCTAATTTAATGTAATGACTACTATTCAGTACTTTACCTTATTTTAGTCTATAATTTTAAATGTTTAAAAAACTGTAACATTTTTCCGTTTTTTTAAATGCAGTATGGTTGGCTTCTTGTTTTTTTATAAATGTTATAAAAAATAAATGACTAAAAATATAAAATACACAAATTGATTTTTTTGAAAAATAAAATAGTGTTAATTATTGACAATGACAAAAATTGGTAATTTTTCGATTTAATTTCCATAAAAACTCCAATCTCTCGGAGATTGGAGCGCTTTCAAAAATAATGTTTTTTTCAGCCATTTTTGAAATGTTCCGTCCTAAAATTTGTGTAAAAAGAGTATACAGGGTGAGCCAGAACTCGCACCCCAAGGAAAAATGCCATACCAGGAACATGTAAAAAATGTTAAAAAAACTTTATCTATAAAAATTTCGAAGTTATGAATGAGGGTTTAAAGTTTGCACTTTGACTCTATTTATTTCTGTTGGAAAAATAATTTTCCAAGTTTTTTTTGCTATAGGCTATTAAAAGAGGAAACAAGGAAGCTGTATCCTAAATTGTAACTCTGTTCAATGTTATTTGTGGCTTTTATTAGCAAAATTTTTGTCCCATATACAAGATCATCAGTATCATTAAATATATTTAAAAAAATGTCAAATATCAAAAAATAAATGTCAACATTTTTTGAACTTTTTAAACATTCTTTTCATGTTCCTGGTATCTTACCTTACTTGAAAATTTTCTCTGGGGCACCCTGTAATTATGAGACTTTTTACGTGAATTTTTAAAACCTGTCTAATGGTTTATTTTTTGTTTAAATAATGTATTTTTAAATTATTTGTTAATAACAAATTTTTAGAATACATGTAGGTATTACCACGTCTATAGTGTACCCATTTATAACTACAAGTATTATTTAAAAAAATATTTCAATATGTTGATTTGTTCTTAAGATAATTTTTCTCTACAAGGTACATAATTTAGTACATTCCTGTTTTTTCAATGTATGTTGAAAAAGAACGGTGAAATATGTGTCACCTATTTTGATGCATTCTATAACAGATTTCAAATTTACGAAAATGGAAAGTGATTGTTTTGACGTGGAATTACTCTTATTTATCATGAGCTACAAAACATAGAATATTTGTTGTACTCGTAACAGTTAAAAGCGCCTTTTTATCTAATTATTTATTTAAAATATAATTTTAACAAAAAATTTCATTATTTAAAAACTATTAAATTTAAATCAATATCTTAAATGACCATTCTTGTAGCCGAAGCAACAGTTCTCAAACAAACAATATAAAATAAATTATTTACTTTGATAATGTAAATTTTTATTTTATATATTTCATTAAAGTTTTAATCTCAACACCTTGTATATAAGAATATTGAGATTCCAAAAAAAATAATGTGAAATAAATTTTGTCAAGTGTAATAAAAGCACTCAGGCACAATTTTCTTTCAGAATTGCTCCACTCTAGTCTTTGAAAAACAAATTTTAAATTAAGCTCGTTTCAGTTATTTACGTTGTAAATTAAGCTTTTTACTTCTGTAGAAACTTTAGTAAATTTAAAAATTTAAAAATAATAAACACTATAACATGACCTATTTACGTTTTTTCTCCACAATTTTGCTTTAATTAAAGTCAAAGTTAAAATTAAAAAAAGCGTGGCCAATTCTTTTCCACCAATAAAAAATTGTATATTAAAAAAAATCACAATAGAAGAAAGTAGTATAACATTTTCCCAGAAATCAAATTTAATTAAGCTTCGTTCAGTTTTAGTTTCGTATTGTATGCATTTTTATTCTCAAAGTTTAGAAAGATTAACGCATTCAAACGGACTACCTGTTAGATCTCAGTTAGAAACTGAAACAAAGCAACTATACTCAATCCTTTAATTGTTTCCGCCCTCCTTTTTTTTTACTCTGCCAATTTTTTTAATGTAAAAATTTTTGTCCACTGTTTTGCAAATTGTCACTTTTGATTAAGTTTGGATCAAAATCTCCTCTTAACGACTTCTCAACTCATTCCCACTATGCTAATCAACGTTAACATCGTCGAACCCAAACCTAATTCGCTCCACTTGGCCCTAATCGCCATCACAACTTTCACCCTCTTCACACCTCCCTTAAAAACTCCTCAACTAACCGGTAAACAATCCCAGTAGCAGCCCCAACAAGACCCAAGTCCTGCGTCGGACGTCGCACATCCTGCCGATTTCTAAAGCTCACCACACACACGCACCACTTCAAGAAGCGCCTCGTCGCCGACAAGACGCTCGCATTTTTTGCACCAAGAGAGAAAAAGTGTCACTAAAAAGTTGGAAAAGCCGATTTTGACTGGTTGTATTCGACGTCCTGCTATTTGGAAGAGCGCGCGGAAACTGGAGAGAGACACCGTTGGTGAAGCTGCGCCGCGCACATCTCCACAGACGCAAGAGCGACGCCACTCCTACCTCCGTCGCCGTCGCCGAACTGAAATCTCGCCCCTGGCGGCGGCTCCTTTTTCAATGAAATGCGTGTGTTTCTTGGGGATTGACGAAATGAGGGAGGAATGACAGGCCGAAGGCACGCAAAAGAGAGTTGGGACAAAAAGCAAAGAAAAAATGTTGGATGCAACAATGCAATAATCTTGACCTGTCCAAACCTTACAAAACGTTCAAAATTTTTTAAGGTTTTTGGGATTTGGAGGTAGATTTAGGTATAAAATGTGCTGAATTTTATGAGGATTTATTTTAAGATCACTTGATCATTTAGAGTTGTGTGGAAAATCAATGTTAAATTTAGCCCAATAACTTAAGAATGTAATAGAATTTTTAATTTTTGTTTGTATCTATTACATAAAAAAAGAATTTTTTTTATTCACAATCATAAAATAATAGTCAAATTACCTTGTATGTAAAAAATTGGAAAGTATGCCATTTCAATTTCATTTAACAATTAAAGTCAAATATCAGGTTCAGGTTGGGAAATGGCCACTTCCCAAAACGAAAACTTATAAGAAAGTAACCACTTTCCAACCTAAATTGTCCTGTCATGTCATGTTTTTCCAATTTGTTCAAAATAAAATAAAATATATTTCTTTAAAAAGTTTTTAATTTTTTTAATTAATGAATGCGTTTCTGTTATTTTTTAATAATAACTTATTATCCAAATAAAATAAAATATAAGTTAA